GCACCTTTTTGTATTTTTTATTTTCTTTTCTTATTTTGTTTTGAATCTGTTTGGAATTAATTCATTAAAAATACTTCTCCAATTAATAAAATTCATCAAAAATATTATATGGACCATTTAAAACGTCTTTTTTTTATAGAATTTTTATGTTATTTTTTTTTTGGATTATTTTTCATTTAAAAAAGGAATTATTAATTGGAGGTGTATTGTTTGGATTAATTTTGGACATTGTTTGGTTTTTAATTTGTTTCTCCCTTTTCCTTTTGATCTATTGACTGAAAATTAATCCTCATACCCATGATGAGTTGATGAATTTTTGAGGACCATTTTGCCCCTGTTGGTTGACTTTTGGTATGACTTTGAGTGCATTTCATTTGACGCTCGACAATCCTCATTCACAATGGGACACCCATGTAAATCAATTTCTTTGGTGGTGTTGTGAATTGATTTTGATTGTAATCTCTTGGCTTCTGTTTGCCAACATGTTTATGGACTTTGTGAATTTTATTAGGTTATTTTTTAATCATTTTCCTAATTTTGAGGTAACTTGCAAGTCAAGTTACCCCAAAGGGAGGTTCATACATACACATTGACCTAGTTTGCCTTGGATATGACTTTGATGGATCCTTTGAGCCTTTGATTCCTTTTGATTCATGTTGCTAACATGTTAAGGTTGTTGGTTGCTCAATTTTAGGTCATGATATTGTGTTTTGCTTGTTCATTTGTGTGCTTCTTTGGATGCTTCCATTTAGGGTTTCCATGTGTAGCATGTTTGCATTCCTTTATGTTTAAGCTTGTTTTTTCATATGATGTGATTGCTTTTGCTTTTGAGCTCTCTTCTCTCATCTCCCATTTTGTTCCATGTGTCGCTACTCGAAAAAAAGCGTCGCGCAACGACGGGGAGGCGAAAAAGATAGACAGAAGAGTCGCCACCGAACTTTATTTATCCCGTGAGGGGAAAGGAAAATATCGAGAAAACCTTAAGAAACGAACGGATAAGATGGTCTCGCAACCAAGAACGGGTTCGGAAGCCGGTTATGCGAGGGGAAGGTATTAGCACCCCTCGCATCCATCGTACTCGATGGGAACCTTTTGTTTGTCGACGTATGAATTTATTTGCTTAAACATTATGCTATAAGAAGTGTTCCACGGGGTAAAAGAAGTAGGGTTTAGAAACAAATAACGGAGGGATAACGGGGAAGAAAAAGGGAAAGAACAGACTCGGTAGGACTTCGCAGTCCTATGCCTACGTATTCTCAATAGATATGAGAAAGTCAGAGTCGACGTAGTTCGGGGAACTACGGGTGATAGGGGGGTTTGTGCTCGCCAAGACATCGCCATCTTGTGCCTACATATTCTCATCTAGTATGAGAAATCAGAGCAAACGTAGTTCGTGCTACGATGTGTTGATATTTTTTATGGACGATGCTATCGTGCGCATTCTAGCAGTTGGGTGTTTTGCTGCTCGCTCGTTGGAGACTTAGGCGTTACCTGTTTGCGGTAGAACGGACGTAACATATCCTTTTTGAAATGATTAGGTTTTCGCCACGCGAGGCAAGAAGTCACGTTTGATTGATTGGATTGTTTTTTAGGGGCGAGACATGTCCTCGGATAGTAACCCCTACAGGTAGTACCCAATTCTTTGTCTCAAAGTTTTTTTGTTATAAAAGGGTGTGGCGAACGAGGCGTCTTCGTATTGAAAGACGAGCGTCGAAACCACCCTCACTACAGTGGGCATCCCAACGCTCGGAGAAGAAGAGGTCTACACCCAATCTGCTCTCTTTAATCCAATGCAAAGAGAACTTCGTTCTCTTATTAAAGATGTTTTTGGTTTTGAATGGTAAGTGCTTTAGCGACAGAGAACCCTACGGTAAACGTCAGCACTCGGGATAGGAGAAGGCCTACGCCTAACCACTCCACGACCATTCAAGTTTTGTTATGAAAAGAAGTTTGAAAACGCACTCGGTACGAGACCGAGGTTTTAGGTGTGAAAGGTTACGGAATGAAGTTGTGAAAGGAGAGGTGATGGAAGAAGTCGCGTCTTCGTATTGAAAAACGAGTGTCGAGACCACCCTCACTACAGTGGGCATCCCAACACTCGGAGAAGAAGAGGTCTACACCCAATCCGCTCTTTTTAATTCAACACGAAGAGAAATTTATTTCAAAGATAAATGTGAAAATGGACACGGTACGGGGCCGAGGTTTTAGGAGAGAAGGGATTGAAAATGTCTTCATATTGAAAGACGAGTGTCGAAACCACCCTCACTACAGTGGGCATCTCGGCACTCGGAGAGGAAGAAAGTCTACACTTAATCCCCTCGTTTTTAATTCAATACAAAGATAATCGGATTTTGAAGATGATTTGACAATGTTTTTTGAATCGAGTCGGGACAAGAAATGAGGAGAGAAAAGAGGTGGTCTCAGATCCAACATTACTCATCAATAATTTGACTGGTAATGAATTACGGAGGTCTCGTCATCGACCAAAAAGAGAAATGGGACAAAATGCCCAATAACAGATGCGAAATAAAATTTAAGTTCAAAAGAAAATAAGAATATTCTAAAACTCTAATATTAATCTAAACAGAATAATAACATATAATATATAATAACATATCTACATAATTTGAAACTAATTTAACAAAACATTTTACAAATTTAAGCATTATTTTACAAAATATATTAACACAGTATTGACCAGAAATAACATATCAATCCTAATAAAGATATCAACAATAAAATTTAATGTAAAAAAATATATATATATAAAAAAGAAACCGAGATTAAAACAGTAAAAATAATGTAGAAATATCTCAACAGTAAAAATAAGGATAATAATTTTAAAAACAAAATAACAGATTAAAACAAAATTGAACAAAAAAAAGGGGTCCTCCCTCTTCGTATCTTTTCTTTCACCGTCCCTTCGCTCTCTGTATCGATCTCATCTCTTCATTTTCTCTGTCTCCACTTATTCACCTTCTTTACTACCTTCAACAAACATCAATAACAATAACGTGTAAACTAAATCAAACTCCTCTGTTAATCGCCGTATGGGTTCGTGAATCACGAATCATCTTCATCTCATTTATTTCTGTTTTCGTTTGGTTTTGTGGTTGTGTGTGGGTTTTATGGTCGTGATTTTGAGGAGGGATTTGAAGTAGGTGAGTTTCAGATTGGGGATTAGGTTGAGGTTTTTGAAGTCGGCTCTTCGGTGGAAGTTAGGGATTTGGTGTGCTTTCGGTAATCTGGAGGTGTACTCGGCTGAAAAATCAAATTCACGGGTCAAGGGTTTTGAGGAACAGGGAAAATCTGGTTTCTGAACGGTTGTGAGGGATAAAGATGCCGAGGGTTGAATTTGTTGTGTGGCTGTTGAGGTGAGGTTAAAAAAACTTGAGTTGGTTGAAGAAGATGGAATTCTTCTGGGTTTTCACGGTGGTTTCGAGTGGTAGAAGTGGTGAGTGTTTATGTTGATTATTGTTTGAAGATTTTGGTTGAGCTAGTTTCTGAAGATTATTGTTTGAAGATTATTGTTTGATTTTTGGGTTGTTTCTCGATCACGGAGGCCACATGGTTGGTACGGTGGAAGTGAGTCGTGGTTTGCATTCGGTGAGTTCTTGCGGATGGATTGTGAGTGAGGTTAGTCTTCACCTCTATTCCATTTTTCATGACAGTAGCTATGTTAGTGAGAAAAATGAGGTATGGTGCTGGAAACAAGTGGTATTAACAGTGAGGTTATAAAGTTTGGAAAAACATAACCGATTGGTTTCACAGTTGCAAAACAAGAGCATGAACAATGTTGTTGTTATTGGTAATCATCGTGTTGAGGATTTGAGGTGAGTGAAGTGAGTTCAAAGGTAATAGCTGTGTGAATAGCCTTTGTTTAAAGGTGAAGATGAATGAGGTAAACATGATGGTGAAAGTGATAAGGATGATGGTGTTGTATTGATGGTGAGTTTGGTTTGAATCAGTTATAGACGAAAAAAAAAAAAAAAAAGAGGTAGAGCTGTGAGATTTTGATGCCGATATGGTTATGGAGGAGAGGGATTTGTCATCTATTGAAGTTTTAAGCAGATGGTGGGTTTATGAAGAGTTGAAGAAGAGAAAAGCAAAAGGGAGAGAAATCTATTTTTTGTGGACTTCATTTTTGAAGAAAGTATCGAATGCCCTCAAGTTCTGTTGTGTTTTTTCTGCTTTTGTTGAATTTGGAGTTATGAGAAAGAGGAGGGGGAAAAAAATTGGTTTTCAGCTGTTGTGTGAAGGTTTTAATGGGAATAGGTGTTGGTACACAGTTTGGTGCTGCAGGTTTTGTAATGTCCTGTTTTTTTGTTTTTATGCAGGTACCAATTGTGGTTGTGTTTTATTTTGGTCTGGTGTGAAGCAGGCTTGTTGTCTGGTGTGTTGGGTGCAGTAGTGTGGGCTGGCTGCTTTGTTTTGCAGGTATTGTCTGGCGGTACGGTTGTGCAGAAGTTGTCTGGAGTGGGCTTTGGTGCAGCAGGATGGTTTTCAGCAGGCTGGTATGTAGCAGTATCTGTTTTGAAGTTTTTTATTGGTTTTTCTTTGTAGGGTATGTGTTGGAATTGTGTGAATTTGTGACGTGGCCACGGTTGAAACGAGGCTAGGAACGAGTAGATGTTGGTGTGGTTGTGCGTATTGCACCATGGCTTTTGGTTTCGTGAGTCACTCACAATTTTGCTTCTCTTTTTACAGGATGTACACAAATTCAATGAGTTGTTTCAATCATTATCGTTGCCTGTCGTATGTGGGACCTGTGACAATTGTTGGACGGCACGACAGCGTGGTTCGACGGGTTGGTTGTCTATATTGAACGTGGTAGAATGCTTTCCCGCAACGCTCTGAAACAGCTCTAAATCACCACCCTGACAACATTGGATACGGGAGGTTGTACCTCCAGCATCAGCAGCAACTTCGAAGAGATTCGCGATTCTGGTATGTGTTTGGCTGCTAAATGAAGCATTTTTATTTCGCAGGCTTGCATCATGTTATGTTATATGACATCCTTCCCTTTTCCCTCGGAAAATTATGTCGCGTAACGAATGCTTACGCAATGGCTTGCGGGAGGCATGGCCCTGCACGGCTGGTTTATTCGCTTTTGAGTTTCCCTTGTAGATGATCTCTGTTATGTGGCCCTCGTGAGAACGTTCTACTTTCTTTTTCACCGGACAATTCGAATGGGTGCATTTGTAATAACTTCGTGGGAACTCGCTACCCTTAACTTGCTTTTGACCGTATTTTCTCCAATTATATCCATCTTCTGACGGAGTGCCACCAACACCAGCAACAATTGTGTCTCTGTTGACTCTTTGTTCTCCCTCTTCTTCTGCTTGATCTTCCATTGGTGCAGAATTGTCTTTTTGAGGTGGCGAGTCGGAGAATTCTGCCTTAAGATGGAGGCTACTTTTGTTCTCAGTCGCATCAACTCTTTGAGATTGAACCGAAGCTTCAAAACCATGAAGGGTTTGCTGAGGAAGCGTAGTTTGATTTATATTTCTACCAGCACCATGATAAAAAGAGGGTCCTGTATCGGGTGTAGGCTTGAAGGCAAAGGATGATGCATACATATCATTAAAGCCATTAAGTTTAGATTTTTGTTGATCATCAGAAGATAACTCTGTGCCGCGGATATTTCCGTTTGAGACAAATGGAAACTTCCCTGTTGTTGGAGATGGTTGTGCCAACGAATTCGCAAGGAAAACAGGAGAATCTAAAAGTGTAGTAGGACTAAGACCAGGCGGTATAGTCAAATACGGAGACTGAATCTCAGAATTGAGCGAAAGCTCTGTAGATCTAATGCCTTCTGTATTCAACCTCGGCGCATTAAATCCGGTTCTAGCAGCAATTCTTTCAACAAGACCATCTCGCGAGTTCAGCTTATGATCGTTTCGATAACTTCCGTCGCTCAATTGGGTACCCGAATCACCATCTTGCACCTCAATTCTGTCACTTTCAGATTGTTCAGAGATTTGTCTTGTTACACTATTACTCTCTTCATCTAGCATTCGAGAAAATAGGGTTCTCGGACTCGGATTCGGAAGACCCCAATCACCATTAGGTACAACATTTTCATCAATCCCAGCCATTCAAACCTCACTTTATCAATCAAACACCTAACCTAGAAAATAATGAATAATAAAGATGAGATTTTTAACATAAAAATCAGACAAGAGAGCTCAACCACCACTGGAAATGATTAGAACAGAAGAATCGGATCCGAGAAACCCGAACCCGACCCAAAAATTTATCTGGGTCTCTCTTTGTTGTTGCTAATCTTGAGAGTAAATGAAATGATTCATCTTTTCTTTTTTCTCTCTTGGCTTTGGATGAAAAGTACTTTTTATTTTTTTTTCTGTGTAACTTTGTACTCACACGATGTTAATGAGTTTAAAAATCTTATCTCTTAGTCATAGAACTCTCTTTGAAGTACCATTATTAATGTGACATATCCATGGATGAGAAATTCCTGTAACACCTTGTAATGAAGCTTGGTTTGAATTAATCCGAAATCATGATGGCTCATAATAACAAGCGCTTGAATTTCCATGTAGATTTAGCCTAACAATCATACTATCCAAATTCCCAACATCTCTAATGGTGAACTGAAACTTTGAATCAATTCCAAGAATCAACCCTCTACTCAAATTTGACTTTGAATGAGCTTGTACCATTCTTGTAGTGATAATGACTTATATCCTTGATTTTCTGATTTCTTGCTCAAAAATCCATAATGCTATTTTGCAAATACAACATCTTCATCACATAAAAATGAGAACAAAATTCTATCCATGATTTGCAAAACATCAATATTAATCTTTAAGACCTATTCAAACACGAATCTTGAGGCAAGCATGAGTCACTCCTCCTTTAAAGCATGAATTGTCATAATTTGCACAAAATTGAAATAAGTTCAACCATAACTTATCTCACTTAATTCTCATAACCTCAATACTTATCTAAGGATGTGACTCCAAGAATATTGGAACACAAAAAACAAAGATATTCCAAAATCTCTTAAAAATGATTAATCAAGCCTTAAAAGGGATCAAACCTATCACTTGAATCAATAATCTCTAGTCCTCAATCATGAAATAAAACTCGCCAGACCAAGATCAAATCAGACCTGACTGATTTCCAACCTTTACTGGGCCCACACATTGATACAGATAGCCCTTCAATGAACCTCAATGATTACCACATACCACCGTCCTGCTAGCCTAAAAAACACCTCATTTCCTTTCAAAGGCCTTATGAGGTCTTGAGTTTGGGGCAACAAGTAGAAACAACATATCTTTTGATTTTCAGATTAACGGTTGATGGGAAGATGTACAGACAAGGGATGAACATGTAGGACAAATTTGGGGTATGCTTATGCAATGTGATATGCTAATGCAATGAAATGAAACATAAACCAAATGGAGAAAATGTAGGGCAAATTTTGGGGTACAACACCATGACCTTGTAGTATCATTTAAGGTGACTTAGTCCCTCCTTAGGAGGTACTTGAAGCATAGCTAAAATGGTGAATCCTTGAGGACTCCTTTGTGCTTCTTTTGCACTTTGTTTGTGATGCTTATGGTTGAGTGCACATTATGAGTTCCTTTCAGTCCTCATATAGCCTCCCATCCTCACTTTTTTTAGTTTCTTTTCCTTTCATTTGATTTGGCTTTTGGCACTTGTGGTTGATGTTGTTTGACTTAGGTCATTTCATCCCACTTTTGGTGCATTTTTGTGTGGTTTTTCCTTGTTGTTTGATCTCATCTTGTGCATTTATTTCTCTCTTCTTCTTTTGCATTCTCATATGCATGCTTGAGTTTGAGATGAGCTTGTGGAGGCTACTGCCCCACACATATTTCCTCCCTCACTTTCATCTTACTTGTGCATTCTATGTGTGCATTCTTGCATTTTTATGTTCTTTCTTATTGTTCTTCTTTTGTCTCTCCTTCCCTTAGGACCTCTAACTCTCTTATTCAAGAGAGGTTATGATAGACATTAGGTTATTAACCATGCATGATAACATTAGGTAGTTCCCTTTTGCATCCCAACTTTAAGTCCACTTTGCATGATAACTTTAGGATTGGATTAGTCTCCCATTAGTGGTTCTTTCTTCTCTTCCCATCTTCATACAATCTTAACATACTTAATAAAGATAATGGATGTTGTGCCATTAGCCTTATACTTGGGAAATGGTGATTGAGTTGTTACCTCTCAATTGCCTAGAGTGTTTAGTATACGTCCTTAGGACGATATGCGACGCATTCGATCCTAGGTTTTAGACTTTAGTACAACATACGTTATAAACACTCAATAATTAAAACACTTCTTCTCTAAAAAACACAAAAACACTTCAAATATTTTTCACCCTTTGGGGTTCTTAATCAGGAAAATTTTTTCAGATAAAAGAGTGTTGTTAACTTTTAGTTCTACCACAAACGGTAACGCCTAAGTCTCTAATGGTCGAGCTGCATACACCAACTGCTAGAACTACTTGTTAACCCTACTCGGGCCTAAAAAATTTTGAACCAACCTGTGGTCTTTTTAGCCCGAGCTACGTTTGCTCTGATATTTCATACCAGATGAAAGTACGTAGGCACAGGACGCGACGTCTTGGCGAGCAACCTTCCCCCTTTCAACCGTAGTTAGCCAACTACGTTGACTCTGACTTTCCTATTGCACGAGGGAATACGTAGGCAAAGAGCGGTGATGCTCTGCCGGGTCTCTTTTCTTTTTCTTTTATCCCTTGACCTTTAGCTAGATAGATGATCACCCGTTTAGATAGACAACAATGCATGGATCCCGTCGAGTACGACGGATGTGAGGGGTGCTCATACCTTCCCCTTGCGTAACCGACTCCCGAATCCAGGACTTGGTTGCGATGACCTTGTCTTTCCCTTTTCATCAGGTTTTTTCGATCATTTCATTTCCCTCTCTTTGGGATAAATAACGAAAGGTGGCGACTCTTCTGTTTTCCGCCGGGTGTTTTCCGCAGTTGCGACACATATGAAGACTTTTTATTTCATTACCCGTCCAATCTTTTGGTTGTTTAACAACGCCATTATCGCCCGTAGGGATAAATGGTCCCTCAATGACGGTGCACCTCAAATTTTTGTCAACCGATAGTAAGTGTATGTACATCTTTGCTTTCTAATAAGTATGATTTTCGCCTTTGAAAATAAGGGCTCTATTATATGCTGCCTTTGGATCGTCATCGTCTGCCATATTCTGAAACTTTTGGAGTTAATTACACTTAATTAAAATACTATCTCTTGATGCCAATTGTTGAGTCAGAATATGGAGTAATGAAACAATCTAAGGGGAAGGGAGGGGGGTGAATAGGCCCTTTAAAAATAATTCTAAAATTTGACCGATTCTCCAAAATGGATTATCAAAGTTTTTTCAAAAATGCACGCAGAAGGTTAAAAGAAAAAATATGAAGAATATACTTTTGTTAGAACTCGATCACATTCAAATTAAACCAATTCAAAAATACCAAAGATGGTTTTATGATGAGATAAAAAGGTAATCATTGATTCAGTTGTATATTTCATGAGGCGTGTTTATACAAAGATTCAATATCAATGAATTCCAACCTCAAAAGTTTATCAAAATTAATCACCACAAGAGCTCGATTAAGCACCAATTCTAAAAAACCTAGCCTTACGTAATAAATCGCTACTCAATTGAATAAGCGATAAACTGCACTAAGAATTGAAAAGCTAAGCATACAATACCCTACGAAAATTAAATGAAAAATTATTGTGTGTGTGTGTGTGTGTGTGTGTGTGTGTGCGCATGTGTTTGTGTGACATATATATATATATATATATATATATATATATATATATATATATATATATATATATATATATATATATATATATATATATATATATATATATATATATATATATATATATATATATATATATATATATATATATATATATATATATATATATATATATATATATATATATATATATATATATATATAATATATATATATATATATATATAATATATATATATATATATACATAGATATATATATATATATAGATAGATAGATAGATAGATAGATACATAGATAGATAGATAGATAGATAGATAGATAGATATATATATATATATATATATATATATATATATATATATATATATATATATATATATATATATATATATATAGAGAGAGAGAGAGAGAGAGAGAGAGGAGAGAGAGAGAGAGAGAGAGAGAGAGAGAGAGAGAGAGAGAGAGAGAGAGAGAGAGAGAGAGGAGAGAGAGAGAGAGAGGAGAGCGAGAGAGAGAGAGAGAGAGAGAGAGAGAGAGTACGCCATAATATATAGTGGTTCATTAGTTCATCCTTGTTTTACCTACTCCATCCTTTAATGGTTTTCCATTAGAACCTATTGTGTTCCTTTTTATTTTGACAAATATAATCACTAATCCATAATAATGCTAAGAAAAATAATTATCCTATCTTGATCTTGACTTGTATATAACGTAATGCCAAAATGTTGTGCATGATATTTACTCGATTTGCACTTCTTGAATCTTCCAGCTTCATTAATTTGCTCACAGTCTTCGTGTGTGGCAATCACCCCTTGATCCGACCGGTTTCTTGAGCGATGAACTGTATGAAGATTTAAGAAGAACTCCACCTTGTTCGTAGCCTTCCACACGATCACTACCAAGGTAGTTTTGAGAGAAGAACCCATTTCTTTTCACTGCAATTTGTAATCACCAATGACAACAACCTCAATCTTACAAGCTACCTGAAAATCTCAAACAAATCTTCAAGAACGATTAGTTTCAAGATGAGTGCTCCCTTAGTCAATTACAAATCTCCCTTGATCAAGATCTAAAATAAAACTCGAGGTTGAAGATGAAAGAAATTTGTTTTAAAGAGTTTTTGAACTTTCAAAAAGAGAGGGTGTTGATTTCTCCAAATCACAATGTTAATCGTGAAAAGTGTTTTAAAAAATGATGACAAAATGAATTTATATATGCTTGAGATTAAGAACAAAAATGAATGGAATAAGTTTTGTTAGATTTCAATAAAGAACATTTTATTGATTTGAGTCA